ATATAACTTCCATAAAGACAATCTCTTTGGGGGTCTTTATAATTTTTAAGAGTATCCGTAGGTCCTGAGACTAAAGAATTTGAAAACTGCTGATGTTGAAAATATTTGCAAGTACCTATTTGGGTGGCTAATTGAGGATGAGTATTATGGGTTTATAATAACATTAATCTCTCTCTTTATTGGTTGTTCTATTCAAATCACATAATAACAAATGTGATATTTTTCCCAAACTTTGGTAGTGACTGTGGAGTGAGATTATACTGGAGTAAAGTCCACTAGACAAGGATGAGGATGGGAGGTAATGAAGACACAGGAAAGGAGAAGGAACTTGGTTCAAAAACAATACTCTCCACAATAATAAAATGAGTGGTAATCTCACCAAAAATCCTTATTTCACTGGAGAAGTTTTGCTCAGCAACTTAGAGAATTCCTATGAAACTTTGGAACCCAATGGAAAAGCCTGTATTCAGTGGGAGGGAACAGTCTGTCTTCCCCAGTCCTCCACCTGCTGTCTCACCCTCATCCTCACTCAGCCCCCGAGGCTGATTCTGCCCAGGCTGGGGTTTCCCCATAACCACAGGCCAGCAGCTGGTGATGTAGGGAATCTACCTTCAGGCCTCCAACCTGGTGTGAAGAGGCGGAATGTGCGGCTGAGGCCTATGTGCCCTGGTTTCAGACTCTTCTCTCTTTTTCCCCTTCCCACATCCTGGATGTCTTGTCACAGGCCTTTGACGAGACTCATTCCTCAGTTTCCTCCTGGTCACCTCAGGATCCTGCTGGGACGAGGCCACTGTGCTGCGGGTCCTGCCTCACTCTTGCTAACTGCACCCCTCCTCCCATACGGGCACACAACCAGAGGCTCCTACAGTCTGCGCCCCCTGCCACACTTGGAATGCTCCCATCAGCAGGTTGGTGGCCCAGGGACACACAGGGGCTGCCCACCCAATGTCTTCCCCCATTTGCTGCCAGGCCTCCCCGTGCTGCTGGAGACTCCAGATAGGCCGGCTCAGACACAGGTGCCAGGCCCCACCAAGCCTGGATTTACTTTTCCCTTCAGATACCAGGCCGTTCTCTGAGCTGCACTTATTTAATTCTCACAACAACTCTTAGGGTAGACTGAGCCAGGCCTGGGGTTGAGAAGAGAATTAAACGGGCAACACATGTAAAGCAGCTGCTGAATAAGCATCAGCCCGGGCCCCTCTGCTAACACGTGGGCGTGTCTTATAGTCTGAGTTCCGTGTCAGTTTCCTATCTCTGAAGCAGTTTCTGGATCATCTCTAAAGTGAAACAACCAAAGCAAAACCTCCTATGTAGTTAAAACGCACAACTACATTTCGTTTTATTGCATCATCAGGGATTGTGTAATGAGCCGGGGGATGCAGAAATAACAATGAGCTTGATGCAGCAAGTGAAAAGGAAACTAAATGCAAATTGTCAGACTGGATTTGAAGGCTGGGATTCCCCTCTGGACTGGTGGCTTGGCTGAGGCAACCACATCGAATCTTTGAATCTTCGCAGAGCAGAGGATTCCTCTGGCTGCCTGCCAAGATGCCTGTGTTACTCTGGAGGAAACTTTTATCCCCTGAACGTGAGGGGGAAACAGGAAACCGGTGTGGGAAGTTGTGTCCTCGTAGATAGCTGGGGTGTGTGCCGAGGAGAAATGGCTCTGTCTAGAACTCCAGGATACTTGCTGTGACTCACTTGGCCCCGTCACCCCAGGGAATGGCTATTTCTCCTCTCCCTTGTGCCATGGTTGAGCTGACACAGAAGAGACTCCTGGACAGCTCTCTTGGAACCCCTCATCTTCCTGCCCACAGATCTAGAACATCAGGGAATAATCTTCTAACCAGATTCAAATAGAAGAGCTGTACATGTAAGGAGCACTTACTCAGATCCAGGTACCATTCTGAGCATATTATATAAATTGAAGCAAGTCATCCTCACCACAGTTTTCTGCAGTGGTACTAAGATTATCTTAATTTTACAGATGAGGAAACTGGACACAGTGAGGTCTCTTTGCTTTTCCTGTGTTAAGAAATTTAACAACTGTATTCTGGGCTTCAAGTTTTAGCAGGAACATTCAAGGCCTGGTGTAACTTTCCCATCTCTCATTGCTAGACCCGCTGTAAGGAGGGAAACTGGATCTTGTTCCTAGCTCTTATTTCTTATTCATTACTTATTTTTAGAAAATGTCCAATTTTGCTAACCTTTTGATTTAGCTCTCGCTTCCAAATGGCCTGCACATCTCTGGCCCTCCTCCCGTTGTCCAATTCTTTAATGTCTTTCCATATCCCTCTATCAGTCCTAAAGTACCAATGATTGATGATGTCCCTCCATTTTACCATCCACCCCCCACCCCCATGCCTATGGCTCTTTGCACATACAGCACTTTCATTAGAACATTTTCCATTCTGTTCTGTAATTGATGGTTAATTTTTTCTGTCTCTTCCAGCAGATTAGACTTTTTGAGTCTGAACTTTGTATCCCAAGTCGTTAGCACAGTGTCTAGTCCATGGTCAGAACTTAAGTATTGTTTATTGAATAAATACTATGCTAGGAATATGGGCTTTGATGAGCTTCTGACTGTCAAATTGCAATGGGTTGTCTCAGCACTATTTGCTGAGCGTTCATTTCATAAGTTCTCTTGACAACATTTCAAGCACCTGCCACATCCATGAGCACATTGCTAGCAATGTGAACAAAGGAAGAAAAATAAAATTCAAAATAGAATACAATTTTGATTAGCTTTTGAATACAAGTTTTGATAAAGCTTAAATATTGTTTTAGGCAAGTTTAGCCCCAATGAACAAGAGTCTTCTTGCTACTTCTGAGTCTCTTTTCTGCATAGTGTTGCATCCAAAAGAAATAGAAATCCATGATCAAAAGTCTTTAAAGAGCAGTATAGGTCTTCACTGACATGTCTTGAAGAGAGAGCAAAGTGGGAAATTATATCATAGAACTACTCACTAAAACATATTTAGTTCCTATTTTAACAGGGCATGGAAAGAGATGGAAAGCTATTCAACTCATTTTACAAGGCTCTTATAAACCTGGATAACAAAATCAAAAGAGAAAATCATGGGACATAATTTACTTATAAACATGAAGATAAAAATACCACATTAACTCCAACCCAAAAGTGAATCAAAAATAGACAACTAGGGGCTGGCCTGGTGGCGTAGTGGTTAAGTTCACACACTCCGCCTCCACGGCCTGGGGTTCGCAGTTTCGGATCCTGAGCTAGACCTACGCTTGGCTTATCAAGCCATGCTGTGTCAGATGTCCCACATATAAAGTAGAGGAAGATGGGCACAGATGTTAGCCCAGGGCCAATCTTCCTCAGCAAAAAGAGGAAGATTGGCAACAGATGTTAGGTCAGGGTTAATCTTCCTCACCAAAACCAAAAATAAACAACTGGGGGCCGGCCTGGTGGCGTAGCAGTTAAGTTCACGTGCTCCGCTTTGGTGGCCCGGGGTTCGCAGGTTTGGATCCTGGGTGTGGACTGACGCATCGCTTGTCAAGCTATGCTGTGGCGGCGTTCCATATAAAGTAGAGGAAGATGGCCATGATGTTAGCCTAGGGCCAATCTTCCTCTGCAAAAAGAGGAGGATTGGCAATGGATGTTCCCACAGGGCCAATCTTCCTCACAAAAACAAAAACAAAAATAAAAATAAATGACTGGAATTTATCCAGGATATTAATGATAATTCAAGATGAGAAAATCTGTTCATGTAATTTACTAAGTAATAAGGAGAAAAACAAAAACTAATCTCGATATGTTCCCCAAAACCCTGGATTAATTAAAAAGCCATATCTTAGCCTACTGAGGCTTGAAGAAAGAGCTTAAATCTGATCAATATCATTATATCTATTAGGAGTGCGTTCTAACAGACAACTCAGTTAATAGAGGCTAAAATAATTAAGGCAGGTGTGTATCCCAATTTGGAAGTCTGTAGGGTAATGGTTGCAGGGTTAGATCAACAGGTCAAAACTGCGAGTGTGCAGGACTTGCATCTCTGTGACTCTCTTGGTCTCTTACTGACGGGCACAGGACAGCTCCACCAGCCCCAAGCATCAAATCCTTCCAAGGGCATCCCCAGCAGGGAGAGAGGAATAAGAGCTGAAATTCTTCCTAGAAGTTCCCTGCAGACTTCCCCCAAATCTTATTGTTTAGGTTGCGTCAAGTGACCATATCTAGCTTGCATTTGTCTCTCCCTCTCTACTTTTGATTATAGACTTAGGTCTAAAGCAGCAAGGAGAACCTGTAAGAATACGACACAGGGATTATGCTACTTTTCAAATGGCTAGATAATTGTCCCAACACTCACTTTTCCCACTGGTTTGAAATGCCACTTTTATTCTATGCAAAGGTCCACTGAATTAAATTGTGTTACCCTTGACCTCTATTCAATTTTTTTGATTGATATGTCTATTCTTATAATAATACCACTTGGTTTCAATTTCTATAACCTTAGAGGATCATTTGATATTTGAAAAGTCAAGTTCATCTGTTTTTTTCTTCCTTTCTCAGATTTTCTTGTAAATTATTTCTTCTTGACACATTTTATAGTTAGCTTGTAGGTTTCATCTAACAATCTTGTTGAGTATGGATTAGGAATGCATTGAATTTCCATAGTAACACACAATGCAGCAATTAAAATGAATGCAGTAGATTTTTACGTACTAATAGAGAAAAGTCTCTAAGATCTGTTACTAGGTAAAAAAACCAAATTACAGACTGATATATATGGAGTAATAATATTCATGTAACATGCACTCAATATTTCTGTATGGATAGATTACTAAATACATGGGAAGATGTCTAGAAGGATATACATTAGATTATCAGCAATGTGGGATTGAGGTGGATCCTCCAAGAGGTCAAGGGTGGGCTTTTTACTTGAATGAATTGTTTGAAAATTTAACAATGATAATATATTCATGTGTATTTTGTAAATATAAATAAACTTAAGAAATTCTCTTTAGTTCTTTAAAGTCACACTTATCATGGCAGCTGCGTGTCCCCACATCGCTCTTATCTGTCTCTGTAAATGCCAGCCTGCCTTGCTTTTCTTGCCTGGCTCTGAAGAGCTGATGGAGACGTTTTTCTTCTATGAGTAGCTTCAGTTGTGCATCTTCATCCTTAACCCCAATGAACCCAACACTGATGGCCAAGCGACACAGGTAGGTCATCCCCATTATGGGGGTAAGGGCACGGCCAAGAATATTTATACTTGAATGATTTTCACCCTGTTATGTAGATCTTAAAAATGAAATATTTAACAGTGTAAGATAATGCCTAATGAGTTCTATATGAAAGAAGCTACAATAAGGTAAAGCAAGGAGAGTGATGAGAGCTCCTAATCTGAGAAGTTTTCCTGAGGCCCTTGGTCAGATATTGTTCTCGTATTTATCTGAGATGGAACAACGTCCTTAGTATTGTCTTCATTTTTCCCACTACTGAAGAAGACTCAGTCTAATGTTAACTCATTACTGGCATTACTGTCTTCATGATCACCAAGGATGGATTGACGAATTTAATAGACTTCTCTCAGTTTTAATAAGAATAATTAAAATGCATTTTAGGGGCCAAGTATTGTTCTGTACTGCATACCTTATCTCATTTAATCAAATCAGAGATCCTGCAAGGAGGGTATTATTATTCCCATTTTATAGAGAAGGAAACTGAGGCTACTCAAAGAGGTTAAGTATATTTCCCAAGGTCATACAGTGAATCAGCGGGAAGCCAGAATTTAGACATTCATTCAGACTCTGAAGAAATTTCATGCCCTGACCCACAATGCTGTGATTCTTGCGTTCTATGCAAGACTTGAAAAAAGTTTTTTTTTAATTTTAATTGTGACAAAATGTACATGCATAAAATTTCCCATCTTAGCTGTTTTTTTAGGTGTAAAATTAAATAGTGTTTAGTATATTCACATTGTTGTACAACCAATCTCCAGAACTGTTTTTGTCTTGCAAAACTGAAACTCTATACCCATTAAACAAAAACTCCTCATTCTCCTCTCCCCCAAGGCCATGGCAACCACCATTCCACTTTCTGTATCTGTGAATTTGACTACTCTAGGTACCTCATATAAGTGAAATCAAACAGTATTTGTCTTTTTGTGACTGGCTTATTTCATTTAGCATAATGTCCTCAAGGTTTTCCATGCTGTAGCATGTGTCAGATTTCCTTCCTTTTTAAAGCTGAATGATATTCCATTGTATGGATATACCACCTTTTATTTATCCATTCATCCATCAATGGATACTTGACCCTGCTTTCACTTTTTTGGGTGTATACTCAGAAGTCTAATTATTGGATCTTATGGTAATTCTATTTTTAATTTTTTGAGGAAACTGCATACTTTTTTCCATTGTGGCTGCACCATTTTACATTTTCACCACCAGAGCACAAGGGTTCCAATTTCTCCACGTCCTTCCCAACACTTTCTTTTTTTTAATAGCAGCCACTGTAAGGAATGTGAGGTGGTATCTCATTGTGGTTTTGGTTTGCATTTCCCTAATGATGAGTGATGTTGAGTATCTTTTCATGTCCTGGTTAGCCATTTGTATACCTTCATTGGAGAAATGTCTCTTCAAGTCCTCTGCCGATCTTTTAATTAGTTTGTGTTTTTTTTGTTCTTCTTATCTATGCAAGACTGTTAACACCCTTTTGTCCCCCCAAAGTCTTGTCCTTTGGCTTTTGAGACATTGTAAATTCCCAGTCAGCTTCTCTGTATTTTATTTTTTGTGTGAGGAAGCTTGGCCATGAGCTAACATCTGTTGTCAGTCTTCCTCTTTTTGCTGAGGAAGATTGGCCCTGAGCTGACATCTGTGCCCATCTTCCTCTATTTTGTATACAGGATGCCTCCACAGCATGGCTTGATGAGTGGCACCTAGGTCCACGCCCAGGATCCAAACCTGCAAACCCCCAGCCACCAAAACGGAGCACGTGAACTTACAACACGGGGCTGGCCCCTGGCTTCTCTGTGTTTTTGACCAGTTCTTTCTCCCCAGCTCCTGAAATGTAGAGGCATTAACCAAAGATCAAGAGGCATCTGAATTTCTTCATATAATTACTACAGCAAACTCAGAGGTGAATAATAATTTATTGAGTAACTACTATGTGCACAGTTAATAACAACAAAAAATATTTCACATCTGAGTGATTCCTATGTGCCAGGCGTTTTGCACCCATTACCCTTTACCTCATAAGTCTGTGAGGTTAAGTATTATTATTAACCCCATAATACAGCTGTGAAAATTGACCCACAGAAAGTTCAGGCAACTTGCCCAAAGACCATAGAAGAAGCTAAGAAGGGTTCCTGTTTGCAAGAAACCTATGTCCAAAGGAGAAGACAAGACTAGCACACTAGAGAAAATTAGAACTATTGTGGTAGTCATAAAAATACTAGTTACTATGTGAACACAACTACTAAATGTATAGATTTAATTTTTAATTTCCATTAACAATCCGTGCACTGCCCTGCAAACAGGATGAGACATTATGAAAGGGGAAGTCATGATAACTACTCAAAAGGACCTATTACTCAGCAATCATTTAAATATTTCTCTGCTTAAAGGTCTGGACTAGGTGACTTGGGTTAAAAGGATCTGGTATTTCCTTGCCCTTAGGGAACTTAAAATCTTTTGGGAAGACATGTACATGGGAAATCATTAGAGTAATAAAAGATCATCTAGATCGACTAACCATTTGAAGGTGTACAATTCCGTGGTATTTAGTACTTTCACAGTGTTGTGCAACCATCACCACTCTCTAGTTCCAGAACTTTTTGTTCACCCCAAATGGAAACTTCATACACATTACGCAGTTGTCACTCTGCATTTCCTCACCCCGCTCAGCCCCTGGCAACCACAGTCTGCCTCCTGGCTCTACGGATTTACCTATTTTGGATGTTTCATATAAATGGAATCATAAAATTAGTGACCTTTTGTGTCTGGCTTCTATCACTTTGCATATTGTTTTCAAGGTCTGTTCCCATTGCAGCATATACCAGTACTTCATTCTTTTTTATGGCTGAATAATATTCCATTATATGGATATACCACCATTTGTTTATCCATTCATCCATCAATGGGCATTAGATCGTTTCCACTTTTTGGCTATTGTGAATAGTGCTGTTGAGAACATTTAAATACAAGTATTTGTTTGAATATTTATTTTCAATTCTTTTGTGGTATATAACCTAGAAGTGAACATTTTCATAACACAAAAATTTATATACCACAAAAAATTACCATATGATCCATACCATTCTGGATCATATGGTAATTTTATGCTTAACTTTCTAAAGAACCACCAGACTGTTCCACGGAAGCTGAAACATTTTACATTCTCACCAACAATGTAGGAGGGTTCCAATTTCTCTACATCCTCACCAGCACTTGGAGTTATTTTCCATTTATTTGATTAAAACCATCTTAGTGGGTGTGAAGTGGTACCTCATTGTAGTATTGATTTGCATTTCCCTAATGATTATTGATGTTGAGCATCTTTTCCCAGCTTTGTAGGTCATTTCTGTATCTTGAGCGGCCCATCTCCTGATCTTCAGGGGCCCATCTTGAATGTCTATTCGAGTCTTTTGTCCATTTTTTAAGTAACTTGTTTGCCTTTTTGTTGTTGAGTTGTAAGAGTTTTTTATGTATTCTGCATACTAGAACTTTATTAGATATATGATTTGCAAGTATTTTTTCCCATTCTGTAGACTGCCTTTTCTCTTTCTTGATAGTGTCCTTTGATGCACAAAAGCTTTTAAATTTGTTGAAATCCAATTTATCTATTTTTTTTCTTTTGTTGCTTATGCTTTTAGTGTATTATTTAAGAATCCATTGGCAAAACCAAGGACATGGAGATTTATCCCTATGTTTTCTTCTAAGAGTTTAATAGATTAAGCTTTTACATTTAGACCTTTGATCCATTTTGGATTTTTTTCTGTATGGTATGAGTTTGGGATCCAGCTTCATTTTTTTGCAATGTGAATATCCAATTGTCCCAGCACGATTTGTTGGAGAGACCATTCTTTCCCCATTGAACGGTCTTGGTACCCTTGTCAAAAATCAATTGACCGTAGATATATGGGTTTATTTCTGGATTCTCAATTCTATTCCATTGGTCTATTTGTCTAGTTTTCTGCCAGTATCACACTGTTTGAATAATGTAGTTTGTAGTATGTTTTGAAATTAGGAATGTGACCCTTCCAACTTTGATCTTATTTTTTAAGATTGTTTTGGCTATCGGAGTCCCTTGCAATTCCATATGATTTTTAGGATTGGCTTTTCCATTTCTGTAAAACAGGCTGTGGGATTTAGTTAGGGATTGCATTGAATCTATAGATTATTTTGGGCAGTACTGCCATCTAAACAATCTTAAATCTTCAATTTCATAAATATGGGATGTCCTTTCATTTATTTAGTTCTTTGTTATAGACTGAATTGTGTTACCCCCAAGTTTATATGTTGAAGCCCTAATCCCTAAAGTGACTTATTTGGAGACAGGGCCTTTGAGGAAGTAATTAAGGTTAAATGAAATGGGGCCCAAATCTGATAGGTCTGGTGTCCTTAGAAGAAGAGGAGAGACACCAGAAGTCTCTCTCTCTCTGTGTTCACAGAGGGAAACCCATGTGAAGACACAGCAAGAAGGTGGCTCTCTACATGCCAGAAAGAGAGGCTTCACCAGAAACCAACCCTAATCCCACCTTGCCCTTGAACTTATAGTTCACAGAACTGTGAGAAAATAATTTCTGTTGTTTAATCCTCCCAGTCTGTGATATCTCGTTATGGCTGTTTGAGCTGACTAATGCAGTATTCTTTAATGTATTTTAGCAATGTTTTCTAGTTTTCAGTTATAATCTTTTACTTCCTTAGTTAAACTTATTCCTAAGAATTTGATTCTTTTTGATGTTACTGTAAAAGGAATATTTTTTCTTAATTTCCTTTTTGGATTGTTCATTGCTAGTTTATAGAAATACAAACTAGTTTTTGCGTGTTGATCTTGTATCTTGCAACTTTGCTGAATTCGTTTATTAGCTCTAATAGTTTTGTGTGTGTGGATTCTTTAAAATTTTCTAAAATAAGATCATGTTATTTGTGAATAGAGAGTTTTATTTCTTCCTTGCCAATTTGGTTGTCATGTGTGTTTCACTTTTATAGGGTGGTCACCGTCAGTCACCTGT